ATTTTATTGATGTAAAATCAATATCAATCATTTTATATGAAAATAATTACAACCCCATTTTGTTTCTGATCTTTTACACATTGTAACAAGAGAAAAAAATGGAATCCATAATTTCTTTAGTTTTAGGTTCATCTAGTAAGTGAAGTTTTTCGAATCGTTTTTTAAAAATTTTGGATTATATGCATTTATTAGTACACCATATATATATATCTTGTAGTTTTCAGTTTTATACAGCTAGCGTATATCAATTCGATATTTTTTTGCAGGCTGTTTTGTCGTAATTCATAGAATTTCGTAGTTCCTTTCTAAAGTGGTGATTTAGCAGATGCTGATATCAATTTGGAACTTCAAAATTCCATGGACCATAACATTGAACCCGCAAAACAATATCGATTCAATATTTTAGATTACCCATTTCCAATGAGTTTAGAATTTTTTGGGCTCTCTTCAGTTAAAAAATTAGAAGGTATTCAAGGAATATCTCTTTGTCCCCTTTTTAAGCTTCTAATACCTTCAATAGTCAATGTGAACAACTTACACTCATCATTTTGTATAATGATAATCAGTGATACCAGCACAAATGTATTTAACATTTTATAAATAGAAATCACGTTTGGAAAAGCATTTTAAATAAAATATAAGAAGCTTTTCTCAAAAGAGTATTTAAATGTAAGATAAAAATAGGTATTTTTTATTTTGTATTTGCATTTTAAACATTTTTGATTACTTTGAAAAACGGCAGGCATTTGAATTAAACGAAAAACTCTTGTAAAGCCAATTACTAATTATCTTCGAATTTAAAAGTGTGATAGGTGTTTTCCCGTTTGGAGCATGATTTAAAAACTCCTGAGACCTTCCCGTTTCCTGTAAAGTAAACTATTGTAAATTGTTCCCGTTTCGAGCAAAATTCGAACACCAATTATGGTTTGAAATATTCTAATTATTACAAGAGATCTTATAAGTTTTATAATAGTTAAGAGGTGATTGATGATAAAAGTATGTATTTACTTGAAGAGGGATTTACGTTTTTTGTAGATGAAACATTTCGGAGCTGCCGCCCTTTGTTTGAACAGTTATATACAGTAGAGATTAAACAACATCAGTAATACCTGCAGTTTATGCCCTTTTGTCCAATAGAAAAAAATTCACTCTTTTCAAAGAAAAAGAAAACTTTAAACCAGAAAGAAAATGCAGCAATTAATGTCGTGAATTAAATACCTACACCAAAACAGGCCAAAAAATGTATTTATTTGGATCAGCGCTGTCTAACTTATCATAGCCCGCGGGCCGTATTTTCTTCACCAAACATTTCGGGGGCCAAGAATATTTATAAATGTAGTCAATTTATGTTAATTAAAAACATATTTTATTTATACTAGATAAATAAAAGATAAAANAAACTAATTTTAAAATTCGTTAGGTTCTGCTTCTCCCTATATTATTTCTAACACTACTATTACTGTCAGTTCTTACTTTTCTTTATACAATCCGGTGGCTAAAACCATTTCCATGGCACGATCGGCTACGTGGAATACGGGGCTCAAATCAACATCAAAAGAAATTTTTGAATTTCGATAATGTGAAAAACTGGGTGAGCTCCTCTCTAATTTACTATGTGCTCGGGTATTTATCTTAGCCTTATGAACAGCCATTTCATTCAAAGATTGTATTGATATGTGATTAATATTTTTAAAGTGTCTTCTTTTTGATCCATGAGAGTTTTCTGGAACAAATCCGTAAATTACGATAATTGAAATGAAATAGTAAAATAAGGCGGATCACGTGTCCATATCAGTTAACGAACGACGTTGGAAGTTTCTCTTTTTAAAAAGATATCCAAAATTTGTATTTACACTTTATTAAAAAGAACTTCAAAATTATCAACTAAAAGTACAAAACATGCCGTTCGCGAATTAAATATTACAACAATATGCCATGCACGTGAACTACAATACATTAATTAGTTAAAAAGGCTAAAACAAAGCTTATATATTGCACAAGAAATAGTCTACTTTGCACATTATTGGGAAATAGTTGTTGGCGTAAGAACGCGCTGATTACTATCTATTCACATCGATAACTTATCCTTGTCATTCATTGTAGATTTACATATATTGTCGTTGAATCTTCTGGACTAGTCTTTATTCTTCTCGAGAGCTCTAGATCTTCCATTGTTAGGCAGCAAATGTGTCACTCAGGGTATGATTCATTACTCTCCCCGTGTTTAGTACAAAGGTTGCCGATTATCGATCGGTCCCCTCCTACGGGCATTTTCAAGACTCCTCGGGAATTACGTACCTGCTTGTATAGATCTTTCGCCGACTCGAAATGGAAAAGCCATAAATCATTTTTAAAATGAAGTAGGTACAAAGATGGAAAAGGGCCTTTCTCGACCAATATGATACGATTCGATTCAGATGGAATCCAACATGATATTTGCAGTGGCATACACAAAAATTGCGTAGCGTTAAGAAAAAAAATGTTTGTTTCATCAATCTGCTCACCAATTGATTAAAATTGACGACTTTCGATTTTTCGTTGGGTGCACGTCTAATCTAACAGATGACATCATTTATTAGCTTGACGATTTAGTATGGACCTTCCCAATGCCATTGCAGCTTCGATTAGAAACTCATGGATTATATAGCTACACCAGGACTCCTTGGATTCCTTCATCAATGGCCCTCATGTCATACGGTCGCCAGCAATCGACATGTGGGAGCATACTTCTTCGTGGATGTCGTCAAGTCTATTCCATTCCATCTAATTGAGGATGTAAAGGTGTAATTCGGGTTTCGTGAATGACTATTCTGAAATACGGCAGATTCTATGTTCCTATCCTAGTCAGAATGAAGCTCTACTGATCCTCCGAGCCGGCTGATTAAGCATTTGAAGAGCTCTTGTAAACTGATTCATTGCCTGTATGATACTTATTTCCATCACCAGTGGCATATTTCGCACATAGTATATATAATCGTTCGCATTTCACTCGAAAGGTCTTGTTAAAACCGAAATGTCCTCCCGAAGAACCGCCATGAAGGTACTGCAGGACTTCCCTGATCAAACTTTGCGGTATATCAATTGATATATGCTCCCGGTGCTATCCAGGTTCTCTACTAGGAGACCATCTTTTTTAACAATAGAAACCTATTAGGCTTATAACAATTTCACTTCGATAGATTTAGCAGCTACTTTATATCAAGTCGGTCTTCTACTTCCTATTTTACATTTTCGGAGAATTCTTAGGATCGGGGCGGTGTCTTGTTTTACCAATGCTCATCCGTGACATTTATCCTTCTAACTTCCTCGTGTTCCTCGACGCGCCTACAATGCTTACAATTTTCTCGACAAGGTCTTTGGGATAAAGCATCGACTTTGCAATTTCTAGCTCGGTATTCTATATCAAAATCGTATTCTTGGAGCTTTTCTATCCAACGTGCTACTTGACCTTCAGGACTCTTGAAATTGAGCAACCACTTTAGACCTGCGTGGGCAATCCGGAGTAAAAACTTCCTCCCTCCCATACCGTAGTTATTCATAGAAACGCTCCACGCTATTCACCACAGTTAACAATTCTCGCCTGATTACACGGAACTAGTATGTTCAAATTTGAACAGAGTTGTGTCAAAAATGTTTTCCTCGTCATTTTGCATTTAAAAGAGTATCTCCCTCTCCAATATAACAACAGATTTTCCTGCTGGTAAAAAATAATTGATCACTCCTATACTGCTTTAATCTTCTGCTGGTCGACTGAAACAGCGGTCCTCGAAACTATATACCCCAGGCGATTTGACTGATTCTTGAAACAGCTGACATTTCTTGAGACAAATATTTCAGATTGACATCTCGAAGCCTTCAGTATACCTCTTCCAAATTATTCATGTGGTCACTAATGTCTTTTCCGATCAGAATGATGTCGAAATATACTTGGCAAGTCTTCTCAATCAAACCACTCAAGAACAACTCCATGAGCTTTTCGAATGTGGCTGGTGCGTCGCATAAACCAAACGGCATCACTATTGTCATATAATCCTATTCTAATGGAGAATGTCGTTTTCTCTTTGGCTTTAGGATCAAAATCCAATTGGCAGTTTCCACTTTTAAGGTCTAGTGTTGAGACTATCGTCGATCCAGCGAATGTGCCCAAAATATCGGTACGTCTAACGTAGGTTTGCCCCTCCTTGTCATATTCTACTTCGAACACGCCTTGCTTTTGTTAGAGTAATCCCATTAGTTGTCGTTGCTAAACTGTATCACGCTTTTCGTTGGATTTTTCAAACATTCCTGACAAAGCTTCTGGAATCTATCGGTTTTGACAGTAGGTGTAGTTCTTCCTTCTTGTTTCAATAAATTGATAATGTTAAAATTCTCATTCGATTTCTGAACTGTTTCTAACAAATAAATATTGCTTTCCCTGATAAGTAGCATTTTTGTAATTTCACTCCAGGACTGAACATTCCTAAATTGCAGAATCGACGAAATGCATTATTGTCACGTGTAGGCAACCCATGATACTGTCACATGCAGGCAACCCATCATGCACATTAACAAAGGAAACCAAATTTTCTAGATGCCACATTCTGGATTTTTATAGAACAAATCCAGCCCCTATAAACAGTTGCCGCTAGGTAGGAAGAGTTAGTTCGAGTTTTAGTGACGATGCGATACAAAGCGACATAGGAATAAGAGCGAAAAAGCGATAAAGTGTGTGATATAGTAATAAAATAGAAATTATTTAATAATAGTAACGTTAATTAAAAAGTGAAAACTTATTAATCAGTATTTGACTTTAATCATATGGAGAACTGGCTACTGTACTACAATATCAGCTATGTCTATCGTAAGCGGACGTTAAAATTCCAGGGATGAAGTTGCACCTTTATAATAATATTCTATGGATACTTAATTCAGTCTTAATTTATTAAAACTAATTTTAAAATTCGTTAGGTTCTGCTTCTCCCTATATTATTTCTAACACTACTATTACTGTCAGTTCTTACTTTTCTTTATACAATCCGGTGGCTAAAACCATTTCCATGGCACGATCGGCTACGTGGAATACGGGGCTCAAATCAACATCAAAAGAAATTTTTGAATTTCGATAATGTGAAAAACTGGGTGAGCTCCTCTCTAATTTACTATGTGCTCGGGTATTTATCTTAGCCTTATGAACAGCCATTTCATTCAAAGATTGTATTGATATGTGATTAATATTTTTAAAGTGTCTTCTTTTTGATCCATGAGAGTTTTCTGGAACAAATCCGTAAATTACGATAATTGAAATGAAATAGTAAATTAATACACAACTTCTTATATAAAGACATTCTTTATTCGTTTTATGTTATTTTGTTGAAGAACTTTTACAAAGTAAAGTTAATAATAAAACCTGACATCAGTTACTGCCATTTTTAGACAAACTACTTTGGGTCCACATTTGTTGCCCTTCTCATTCTGCATCTAGTCGAAT